ATGACACAGTAGATTAAATAATGTATGACAGATTGAAGAATGAAATTCTCCGAAGAAATGAAACAGATTTTTCTAAATTTAGATGACTGCTTGAAGAGGGTAAATTCTCACCCTAATCGCGGCATATCAAACTTTGAAAATTGTTGTGGTTTGATTCGTTTGAAGATAATAGCGCTATTGTGAAAGTGTAGTGTGATCGTCCGGGTAAGTGTAGTCCTGAGAAGGACTGTTTTCGGTGGTGGTGACTGACGTTTCGACAACCTGTGCGGAAGTCATCATCAGAGCTACACTCAATTTTTTCAGCGACATTTCAGTTTTTTATCTGACTACTCGCTTTTCTAAGGTTAAGTCGACGAAATACTTCTGATTGAAATACAGCATAGCGTGAGTGTTGTGCACGAAATCAAAAAGGTTTTTCGAATTTTGAATGTTTAATGTCTTAAATGAGGTTACAAAGAGAGTTTATTGCTTAGCTCGTGCGTTCATGACGCGGACAAGCAGGTTTTTCAAAAGGGCTCGAATGGGTCCAAAAAAATTCCTAAAGATGTCATGAATTAAAAACAGCCAGAATTCTGCTATTTCAAAATTAAAGCTATCTATGAGTTTGCACTGAAAACGTTTTGCCATGTTTGACTATACCAAAGCCTGTAGCTCCTTGTTTGCTGACCATGTAAGATCGAGGCTCTGAGAAGGACATTGCTTATTGCGTACAAAAACGCGATAGCATTCTGTTTGCTTGTTTGTTTTTCTTTTTTGTGTATACAGCATTCTTAAAGAGAACAAGCTGACATCCGTACCAGATTTGACAGGTCTTGATACTGTTGTACTCTTGTAAGTATAGTGCACAGGTCAATTCTAATCCCCAAATTTCAACCCAACCCACGGCCATTTCACCGTCGTCCGTCGTACATGCCCGGAGGAAGGGGGGGAAAGGTCGGAATGGAGCGGAATGGAGCGAACGGCTCACAAGAAAAGGACCGCGAGGTCTAACTTTTAAAGCTTGGTCCAAGGGGGTGGGCTGGGAATTTGAGCGTCTTGAATTCAGAAGTTCCTGATCAGTATATATTACATTTTTAAATGAGTCAAGTAAAAGAGTTAAAGCTGAAATATCAAAAAAATTACCAGGAGGAAAACTCAAATAAGTATTTACAGGATGAAATTTACTTTTTTCTTGTGCTTTTCGCAGACAATTAAATAAGAATCGCATCAAAGATATATCAAGGCTCGCAACATCTGGTATTAAACACATACTTGAGCTGTAAGTAGTCAGGCGACATTCTTAGGGTCGGATATTTCCATTTTGTTTCATACAGGAAATTCGTGTGATTATATTTTTTAGTGCGAGCGAGGTTCATGCATATTCCCAGTCTATGCTGATGCCATGCTTGTTCTTATCAAAGCGTACTACTGAGTCGAGCGAATTTCTCCTGACAGAACATTCAAATTACTGCGCTGAAGTTCTTACAAAACAATTGGTTCGAACGTCAGCTGAGATATGAAGTACACGGAACATCATTGTCGAAGATTATTTTGGACTTACGACAAAGTTGTTTTTGGAAACTGGTAAAAAGTTAGCAATGTTTAGTCAAAAGTTATTACTTTATCTCGAGTACAATTTGGGATAAACGAGTTCTTTTTTTTGTCAACGTGTCTTCGCAGTTTTTACGTCATAGCTATGTAACATGATCGTTTTGGCCGCGCGATTAATAAGACACTTTTTGATCGCCAATTCCTACTTTCAATGCGTAAAAAATGGTCAAGGAGAACTCACTAGGCGCTTAGGTCTATAAACTTAAACTTAGAATACAACTATCAACCAGGAAACGCAAAAAAAAAAACAATAATCGTGTCATAGGCAATTTAAACAGTCGGCTATTCTTTTTGAATTACCAGTTTTCTACTCCTTATTGCCTCTCTTCGGCATTATTTACTCTGAAAAATGCATTTCGCAAACCTTTCAGGTTGAAGTATTTTTCTTTTCTTTTCTCAGTATTATGTCATAACATGATGGCATGCTTAACGAATAAAATTTCAAGTTTAAAAATAAACAACTTTTTTATCTTGCAGGTTGTTGTCCAACAATGAGATCGATTATCTTCCACCAAACATATTTCAAAACATTTCCATCACCGGAACCATGTAAGTTAGATTTTATATAACAACACGGGAGGATAGCCAAATCGAGACATCTTCGATTCATCACAAATAAATCCATGAAGTTCTATTAGTTATTGTCGTTGTGTACTCTGAGAATGATGTTTAACCAGAAATGATAGACTTTCCTTGTTGATCTGCTTATGGATTTCTTTAATAGTTGGGCAACGCTTTTGAGTGGTATACCATGAAATATCTCATGATTCATGATATATTCTGGGTATACACATACTACTCAGATCTCCTTCTAACTTTCGAAGACCCTTTGGAATAATGACAATTAATGGCATTGTAGTTACCTAATTCGGCTGAGGGATTTTCCATCAGACCTCTTTCCTCTAAGGACGAGATGGCTCTTAAATTGACTTGAAAAACTTGCTGGCATCCGAATTCGTCTCTTTCACTTATAATATTTTTTGCCTATCACGAAAACATCATCTCTTGATCAGTCAGTCATTTTTTTATTTTTTAAATTGGTACTTATTTTACTGAATTTTCGACTTAATAATTAGTGTCTTGAGAAAATTTGCTAATTCCCTTTATTCTAATTGGTTTCATTTTTAATGACATGATACAGATAGTTTTAAAAGTAAATGCTGCAGATGCGTCTGTTTCTTATTCGTAATCTTATTCATGTTATCTCCTCTTAGTGACTTTTCATTCAACAAATTGCAGTCCATACCAGATGGCCTATTCAATAAGCAAAATAAATTGCGAATTCTGTAAGTAAATACTGATTCACAGCACGTTTTCCAAGTGATGATAAAATGGAAAACTGGAAAATGAACTTTTTTTTAATAATTTCTACTTTATTTTCCCTCCCCCCTCGTCTGAAAACAAGCTGTAAGTCTCTTAATTTCTACTTTCTACATAAATATTTTTTGCTGGAAGGTTGAACTGATTGAAAAACTTTGATCTGATGCCACAGGCCGAATTGTGACTTGCCCTGCTTTTTTGAAAATAAATGTGATATCGTTATCATTGTTATTCACGGTTATTATTGCTATCAGTTCATCGACATTATCAGTATCATTACTTTTTTCATAACTGTCATTCAAATAATTACATACAATACTCTTTTTCTAAATCAAGGATGATTAGCTTCAACAACATCTCCAACATTAATAATCGTACTTTTAGTGGACTTTCAAGCTTGAAGACACTGTAAGTTCTTTTTTCTTTTTCATATCCACAATCCTTCTTAACTCATCTATCATTAATCAATAAATAGCCTCTTGGTTTTTTTTTTTTTGAAAATTTTATACGTTATGTAATCTTGTTATGTGGACAACCTTTCCTGTATAGCTTTCGCTTTTAATCCTCTCTCTTTTTTTTTAATTTACAGTATGCTGATAAAAAACAAACTGACAAATATTTCCAACGATGTTTTTGATGAAACTGCTTTGCAATCAGTGTAAGTAAAAGTATGTTTCAGAAATTTAGCATATATTCACATAAGCCTTAATATTTAAGGTAACTAACATAATAATTTAAGGGCTTCATTGTAACACATTGTATGGTGTGATATATGAGTGGCAAAAAAAATATTGGTTGTTGTGTTGAAACTGTTTCATATAAGACCAAGTAATTTCTTCCTGTAACCGTTCTGCCTCAAGCAGTGACGCGTATCCAGTACACTTAGTCGCCAGAAGAAAGTAGGAACAACGCAATTCACTTCGGAAGTGACTGCAGCTGGAGAAAAACAATCATGCTTCTTCATAAGTGAATTCTGCAATATAACTAAGCGCAACCCTTTAACGATATAAACATCTATATATGGTTAACCATAGACTTACACAAAACTGACCAATTCGATCACAAGGAACCTATTATAGATGCCATTTAAAGCCCTTGTCATGTTTGTTTGCTTTAGACCAATGAACTGATTGGCCAAATTGAGTTAAGGACCGGAGTGGTTGTAGGTATTGGTTAATTATGAGAGAAAGAGCGTGATATGTTATAAGAAAAACAGATTAAAGAAGATGCGGAATTAACCACGATGGATCGTATTTGTTTTCATATTTGTATATCATTTCTTTCTTTTTATACATTAGGTTTCTTCACAGTAATGCTATTAAAACCATTGAAAGAGAATCCTTCAGCCGACTCAACCTGAAACAACTGTGAGTACAATAAAAAAAATAAAGAGATGTTAAGACGCTGCAGTGCAATATATTAATTAAGCACTTTGGCTCCAAAAGGACCTGTGATCCGACTTTACGGATGAGATATTGCCTTGTGAGACTTTATCAACGCTTTACATCCTAACATCAGAGTAAATATTCTCCACACTGCTTGTTCCGACGAACGCCTGTTGATTGGCGTGGCGCTGTCTGTTGGGAAGGCCGAGCAATGCCGCACGCTTTTATTTTTTGAATTACTAATATCTTCAATAGGTCGTAATAGAAATAGGGTAATTTTTTATTTTTTGTTAAGCGGTGGCAGAGGTCGGACTTATGAGTTTTTCTGTCGTTGTGGATTCGCTTTTTTTCGTTTAAAACACAATTTCGTCTCGTTAAAACACTGTTCTTTATACTTTTTTATAAGGGCTAACAAGGAGAATTTGTGAAGTAACAAGGATCTTCTTCGATTGGCAATTATTTTATTGATTTTCCTCACCTTAATTTTTGATTCGGGGGGGGAGTTGATATTGTGAGAAGAAATTAAATGATAGTCATTCTAGAGGTTAAAGGGTGAATGTCGCTCATAAAACGGTAGCCACATCAACCATAGGGTAAAAGAAAAAAAACAAGCGACGCTTCTCTGATTATGTGTAACCTTGGGTAAAATCATTTACTTCTTAATTGAAATACATTTCAGCACAATTTTTGATAACCCATTACACTCGTTACCAGATGGAATGTTTGACGAAATGGACAATAATACCAAAGTGTAAGTAAATAAAACGGCGCTTATTTGATTATTGTAAAGATGACTATCACTTTCCGAAAGGAAGCATCTTGACTTAAAGAAGACCGTAGTAGTTTAAGGCTGTAAGATAGATTTAAAAGCTTTTAAATCTAAGCTGTACTTAGCACTGTTTTTCCATCTGTCGAGTTTCACACCGGGATACGCGGTTGCATATCGGTTAACACACTGTACTTCACCTCGAACAGTTCGGGTTCGAACTAAGCTAGGCGAGTTTTTCATATTCATCGTCTTCACTGTTACGCATCGAGAGAAAGAAATTCGTTGAACAAGGCTAAGAAATTGCAATATTAATGTTATAAGAGATAGGTTTAGGAAGCACTTCTCCAAGTTTTGGGTCTCTTTGTTCTCCCAAACTTAAGATATTTCGTGGAAATTTTTGTGCAAATTTTACAGAGCCCAGTATGAAGCCACCATGTAGGTGGATATCTTTGATCCACCAACATGGCGGCCAGAAAAATAATGCAAAACATCTGGAACTTACTTTGGCTATTTAGCCCATTGATTACCTAAATTAAACCAACAGACATGTACAAAAACACTTTTTGTAACACTTAATTTCCTAAAAAGGCTAAAAATCACCAGATGAGTCACGCAACCACCATAACTCTAAACTTCAAACTGTGCTGGTCTCCAAACCAAGCACGCTATTAAGCTGAAAATTCAAAACAGATACGAATGCAGCCTCTCTTATGCCTAATGAGGATAAAAGGTTTTGTGGCGCCATACTTTTGAATTTTTAAATTTCAAGATTTCACGTGAAAATCAGCAATTATGTTTTCGAGCGGGAAGACTTTAGACCAAGAGCCTCCTTCCACCAAAAGTGTAAAATTGTATTGGGAGACTAAACCAAAGGGATAAAGTTTTTGGAAAAGTTATGACGCTGCTTGGGTGGGGTGGGGAGGAAGGGGGGGTTCTTAAGAGATAATCTAAATTCGTCACCGTAAAGAAATTCTAACTCTGACCTTTTAAGCTTTGGCCCTTCCACAAATCGGAACGCTCGTTCCTTTAAAGTACAAAAATCGCGATGATCAAACTCCGGTGGCGGGGGCCACATGTCTTAAAAGTATAGCTCCTGGAATTCAAATTATCATCAAAATAATCTACAGATCGTTGACATGTAAAAACCTTCTTCAGCTGCCGAAAGGACAGTATCAGTCAGTTGTGTGAGTAAACCTAATGTTAACTTTTTAAGATGACTTATATTTCATATTGGTGTGTCTTGCCATCTACACTATTAGATTAATTGTTTCTAAACAGAAAAATTATAACATAGCTACATGACAACGCGCGCTCTGGTTGCCTATGAAAAGGAAACGGATAGAAATGGATGGTGTATAGAAATGGTTCAGGCTGACGTCGTTGTCATTGGAAAGTTCCCGTTCACTTGAGCAGGGAGGTTTTAAAACCTACAATATTGTTTTTTTTTTTTCGCTCTATCCACATTGAGAAAGGGCCTTTGAAGCCTAAAATGAAAAGAAAATTGCTAAATCATACTCTTTTAGAAAAACAATGAGCATGCAGCGACGGAATTAGATTTGGAATCGAGGATACTTCATTGCCAAACGCGATGCACTCAAGGAGCTAGAGTTGATCTTGGCTGCGCCTCGTGCAACTCTTACGCTTCTCTCGTGCTTCCAGATTTCAACTTCCCGCATGCATCCATAAATTGATATACGCACAGTTCTTTTATTACATAGCAAGCAGGCTCTTAAGTCTATTGAGCTGAATTTTTTCTAATTATTAGCATTATAAGTGCTTTTAATGTTTTGTTATTTTCTTAAACTGAAGTGAGTGTGCTCCCTCCACTTCATTCCAAGTCCTTTTGACGGGAGACCAATCTAGTTACCGAGATGACTTTGAAAGTTCGGGCTTTGAGTGCCTTGATTGTGAACCTATTCATGAGTATGGATCAAGATGTCGTAATTGCTCTCTTTGTCAAATTGGTTACTTCATGTACGCAAAAAAGATCTGTGCCAAGTGTCCTGCAGGTAATAAAAAAAATTAAAATGGATAATATCACAATGAATTTTGGTATTACAGCAACATAACTAGGAAAAGTTTGAAGCGTATTAGTTACGTTCTTTTAAAAGGAGAAGTCCCAAGCTTGGTCAAGTCGACAAACTTCACCTGACTAAAGTTTTTTTTTTTTTGTTGCGTTGTCGTGTTTTCGAATTATTAATTTCCGCTTTTTTTATCATTGGTTATGTATAATGTTACCTGGTGCCAGTAAGGCAGCTGCCCATAGGGCCACCTTTCACTCATGATCAGTTGTATGTCGCTGATTTCTTGCTTCTTATATAATATCTTCACAGGTGGCTTTTATCAGGATGAAATGGGACAAATTGACTGCAAAAGATGCAGCATCGGTACATTTGTTTCTGAAATTCAGCATCCTGGGACTAGTTCTACGGACTGCGTGGCATGTCCATACGGTAACTGATACGTTGTCTCTCAAACACTCCTCTAATCTTTCTCGATGAAGACTGCTCTTTTCATTACTTTCACTATATGTTGCAACTGTAAACCGAAGCAGCAGAAAATCCTTTCTTCTCAAACTAAATCTTCATGGTTAGCAATTCATTTCTATTTTGATGAATTGACTTCACTGTTTAGTCTCGGTTATTGCGCCTTTGCACAAATTAATGTGGATGCACTATTCATCTAAATTGCAGGTACGCTGTCCAACGAGACTGCTAAATATCGTGCATGTAGATGCCTTCAAAACTTTTATCGCTCGGACCGTTTTGGCCCCTGCTCGGCATGTCCACCAGAAGGCTTTGTTTGTGAGAAGGACACAGCGATACTTGCACCTAACTACTTCTGGAAATGGTCAAGTCAGTCTGAAAAAGAACTCTACAAAGGTTTTGTCAACAATATTCATTTGTTTGGACCAGACTACAACAAGTCCTATTCCACTTTTAATACCCTACTTCCAAAGCCACTCAAATGTCCTCGTGCCGAGTCCTGCAAGGGTGGGATAGACTCTGAATGCCGCCAGGGATATGAAGGAGATCTATGTGCAACCTGCTCTCACGGCTTTTATTTCCGATTTAACTCTTGCTTGAAATGTCCTCGGTTAACTGTAACAGTTACTTCGTCCATCTTGGTAATTTTTCTGTTTGTTGCTGTGTTCTTACTGGTTCTTTGGGGCGACTCCAAACGTGCAGACAATAACCGGACAGTTGCAGATGTCATCATGTCGTGCTTTAAGATTGTAATTGGTTTTTACCAAGTCATCGCCGGTATTTTCTCGGCATTGGCGAAAGTCCATTGGCCAGTCATTTTGATCTCAACGGAGAAGTTTCTAAAATTGTTTGAAGGGAACATCTTACAGCTTGCTCCACTAAGCTGCATTGATTCTTCTTTACGGTTGGATCAGCTTGGAAAATTCACAATGATCATTGCCTTGAATTTCATACTCGTTGGCTTGATTTGTTTATATCTTTTCATTAAAAGGCGCTACATTACGAACAAGACAGACTGTGACGAAAGCCAAAAAATAAAGAAAATTAAAAGTTTGGAGAAATCTTGCTATCGGAACATCTTCTTGTTGTTGTTGACCACGTACCCCACGACGAGCAAATCGATTATTCAGATTCTTCCTCTTCCGGGTGCGTGTGAAGAAACGTGTTTCACAGACGACAAGAACGACTGTATTTTCCTGCTGAGAGCTGACTACTCCATCCATTGTTTCACTCCTCGCCACAGCTTGTATTGGCTCATGGCTTCTATTTTGGCATTATATCCCGTGGGATTTCCACTTCTAGCCTTGTTTCTCGTTTATAAATATCGCAAGTCCCAGGAAAACGAAGCAATTGCTTTCGGACTTAGAGTGTTCTTTGAAAACTACAAAAAAAAGTTTTGGTTTTGGGAGGTCACAGAGATGTACCGCAAGCTGGTTCTAATCTCGTTGATCTTTCTGTTTGGATCTAAAAGCCTCTCGCAAATCAGCCTTACAGTTCTGACAGTCAGCGTCTTTGGAGTGGTCTACACCTTATTCCGACCAATCAAGGATAAGTTTGAAGATCGCTTACAAACATTGGTCCTGTGGATCATTTTCTTTGACGTTTGTCTTGGTGCAGTTTACACAAACTGGGATGAGAGTCAAGACGGGGACAAGAACGACTCCATCTTTGTGAATGTCCTCTTCGTGGTCCTTAACGCCTCTGTATTGTTGCTTGCCGTTGGTAAGTCTCCAGCTGCTCTTGACGTTTTATCAATTAATTTAATTTTACATTCACAAATATCAAAAATACCAAAAGTAATAAGCTTGGAATGTTATAGAAGTGGGTCTTAGTGTCAGGAATCTTCTTTTAAGTGTCATTTGTTCTGTTTATCTTTTTATTTAAGCATTTCGACTTTGCTCCAATTTTTCACATTGCGTTACCTCCATTTTTAGCCTTATTATCAAACCAAACTAAGTGTTTCCTTTTCTTAGAACTGTTACTTTGGAGGCAATCATGGGTCTTAGAATAAAACGCAATGAATGTTACTAACATAGCTGTCACTCTTTGGTAGAACACTTGCATCGCGTTGTGGCACACGAAGTTCCTGAATATGCATAATTTTCCATCGCTTTACAGGGTAGACAACAGCATCTAGGCGTATTCTAAAATTTCCGATTTTGTCGGAGAAAGCGAAGAGCGATAACACTTTTCGATATGATTTTTGCAAAAGGTTCATCAAAAGGTTCCTTTAAGAAAAAATAAAATGAATTACGAAATTTTTCACCTGTCGGCGGACTCTCGGTATTTATGGTCAGTGGCTCTTAAAAACTTCGATCTGGGATCTGCCCTATCAAATTCCAAGAAGACGCCTCGGCGCATCTAATTAGGTTTTACTTCAACACCACATGATGGTCTCTGAGACACAGTTGGTCTGCGAACTTATCTGTACGCACTGTCCTAGCTGCGTGCATTCAGTCCTTTAGTGACCATTTAGCAGAATGATTTATAAAAAAAAAGAGAGACTTGTGTTATTTTGTCCTGCTCTCGTCTTAACTGTGAGATGTAATAATTTTACTGTCCCGTATTTTATCGTTTTTTTGATGATGAGAATGCGCTCCCCTCCGTAGCCTCAGACAAGTCAAGAAGAATTATTCTTAAAAGAAGTCATGCGCAGAGTGGGAGTTACATAATATTATAAACATAAGAAGTTTCTCGTTGAGGCTGCATTCAAGAATGCAAATGTTATTAATAATTTTTAACTCTATCATTCTGTTCTTTAAGTGTGTCAGCAAAGGGAATTCTACACGTGAAGCTACTTCGCAAGTACTTTTCCTGCTGCTCGATGGGATGTTCCAGTTATCTTCGCCAAGGATTTGCGCTTCTTAAGAATGAAGCAGTCACCACAACATCTGAGGAATCATACTTGATTGATAATGGCACTTAACGAGCCTCGCCAATAGATCTTTTATAAACCGTTGTAACAAATCTCGAAAAAAAAAAAACAATAGCAACAACAGATAAATAGTTGAGGGGGCCTGACCCTGAGCGGTTTGATTACTTCATTTATGTTAATACTGATACTCTGATCAAGCTTCAGCATTATCAGGCCGGGAAACTCAAGGGCTTTTAGCCATTTTCCGAGCCCGGGGGTAGGGGAATTTGAACCTTTCCTGCTTGGGTGGGGAATTTGAACCAAAAGTGTCAAGTCTTGCCAGCGGGATACAATTGTTACATCTCAAATCGTCGAGGCGTTAAAAGGTAAAGAGTCAACTTTCGTAAACGAATTTGGCGCAGAGGAAAAGGTCCACGGGCTGTGAGTTTTAAAGCATGATCAATGTGTAGAAAGTCACGATCGCTGATCTTGCCTTTTACAAAGAAAGAAAAAGAAAAAGAAAAAACACATTTAAACACAATTCTGGACTTGCGAGCGGGAATTCGAATAAACCAATCTTTGAAGGAGGGGGAGGGGGAGAGAGGAGGAGGGGAGAAGGATGTTGAAACTTCGAATTGATCAAGGCATTACATACATTGAAATACAAATTGGTAAGCCTTTGAAGTTACCAAACCTGGTTTAAAAAGCAACTGTGTCCGTGCAAGGCAGCCACTTGATGTTGCTCATCATAGGAGTTGAATTCTGTAATCTAGTATATTAATATCAACATTATTTTGAACTAAGTAAAAGCATTGGCTATGGCACTTAGATTGGTGTTGACAATGTCATTAACATATGATGCACGATCCTCGCAGTAGAGGATACTGCGAGGATCGTGCATCACACGTATCTAATACCGCAGTTCAAAATATATGACCTTCATATATTCATTGTAACCAAATGTCATTAACATGAGCTGAAATAATAATCAGCGCACGTATTTGTGTTTATATCAATTTTGAAAAAAACGAGAAACAGCTCAATTTAGACGGAAATTTGCGGTGTGGCAGATATACAAGATTTTGTCTTCTTAAAAATAATGTATGGCAAGCTAAACATAGCTTGACGGCGGTTAAACCATTCCTTAATAAAAGGTTTACTGTGCAAGAGGGCGGGCAATGAAAGGATACGGAAATAACGTGAAAATATAGAAAAGTTAGAATTTTGCTAGGTATTATTGAAATATAGGATAGTATATTGCCGTTTCTCTTCAATTTATGAAATCATAAAACGGCCAACATTTTTTTTGCATGTCGTAGCTACTTTCAAAATAACTGTGAAGAAATTGTTAAACGTTTCTTTGCATAATAGTCTTGTAGCTTTAAATTAATACCTTTGAATATTCTTACTAAAAAATCTCTGCAGCTATACTGCTGGCAAAGCGGTCGATGCGCGAAGCGCGTATTAGAAGGTGTATCGTAGTGCTTACGGACCCCTTGCAGACTTTTAATTTCATGCACTCACATCTCTCGCCGGCCTTGAATCTCGCGGTTTTGTCCAGCTAATGACAGGAATACAAAACAAATGTTCTCGTTTTCCGTGTTGATTGTTGTACCATAACACTTTTGAAAGTGTTTCGTTAGGTGTGGTTATGCTACGACTAAGTCATAAATGAAATGTTTTGTAACCATAACGAGCGGAGAAGCATGTCTATTGATATGTGGGCTGTTGAAACACCGATCATAAATTGTCCTATACTGTGTGATTCTATCAAACCAAAGTTTTGCACTTAGTGTCTGTTTTTTGACACATTTAATCACCGTCTTATCGTAGACGCTACTGTACCATTATAATAAATACTAGTGTTCACTTTTAGACATTGCCGTTCAATTTTAGACACTAATGTCTCAGTTTAGATACTAGTGTCTCATTATAGATGGTAGTTCCCGAGTTTAGATAGACTGTCTGATTCTGAACATTAGTGTCCGATTTAAGTAGTAAAGTCCAATTTTAGACCCTAGAGTCTGATTTTAGAATCCAATCTGCGAATTTTAGGCACCTGTGTCGAAATTTAAACATTGGAGTCCAATGTAAACATTACAGTTCGATTTTTTTACACTTATTCCCGATATTAGTAACGTATATCAGTCCCCTTCTCGACACTTAAATGTACGATTATGCGGGATTATAGACTCCAGTCTCCTATCTTAGACGCTACTGTCCGATTTTAAACACAAGTTTCCGATTTCCGACAGTACTGTCCAACATTGTACACTTTTATCCTATTTTGACACTACAGTCTGATTGTAGGTAATAGTGTTCAATATCAGACACCACTGTCTTACTTTGAACACTAGTCCAACGTCCGAGTTTGGTCACTGCTGTCTCATTTTGGATAGTAGTGTCCGAATTTAAACATAAGTGTCGGATTTTAGACAGTAGTGTCTGATTATGGTGTCCCTTTTCGACACTAGTATACGATTTTAGACATTGGTATTTGATTTTAGACACTTGTCTACTATTTAAGATATTAGCGTCCGAATTTACCTTTTTTACACACCACTCTCCGATTTAAGACACAACTTTCAGATTTCGTGTGATTTTAGATAGTATTATCCGATTTTGGAAAAAAAAAACTAATTTTGGACACTAGAGTCCGAATTTGGACATTAGTGTCTGATTTTTGACCCCAGTGTCCAATATTGGACACTAATGTGCTATTTTAGAGTCTTATGTCCGATGGTAGATACCAGTTTTCCGCGTTTGGACACCAGTACCGATATTAGACACCTCCATCCGATTTTTGACAGTAGTTTTCGTTTTTTAGATAATCTTGAACGAATTTAAAACATATTTGGTCGAGCATTTAAACTCCAATTTTCGAATTTGAACACTAATGTGCAATTTTAGACACTAATGTCTGATTTTAGACACAAGTTTTCGATTTTAGATATTATTTTTTAATTGAGACATTTTTTGATTTTTGAAATTAGCGTCCTATTTTAGACAGTAGTGTCGGAATTTAGACACAAGAGACTGATTTTGAACATTAGTGTATGATTTTTGATCCTCATGTCCAATTGTAGACACTAGTGTCCGATTGATCCTTGAATCAAATATCCGATGTTAGATATAAGTTTGCTGAGATTGGACACTTGTTTCCGATTTTAGACACTAGGTAAGGTAAGAAATTTATCTTTTAACAACATCCACTAATTTCATTTAAACGCGAAAAAAAATAAAGGCAAATTTTTGGTCAAAGTTCAATACGAACTAATGACCAACCCGGAACTTTCAAATGCACTCGCGCACAATGTAAAACCTGTCCTTTCATCCACAACGTCGAGAAAATATCGTGCTCCTCCGCCGATGTCATCTATTGCATAACTTGCGCTAAGAGAATATTCTCTTGCTTGCAGTTATTGCAAAAAGATATGCATTGGCAAAAACAGGAAGACGACTGAAGCGATTCCGAGAACAACTTGGCGACATAGAAAGGAATGACAAGGACCCATTTAAACCAGTCGCTACACACTTTAATCTGCCTAAATTATTCTAAACAGCATATGGCAGTCTGCGGCCTTTCTCTACATCTAGGCAGTAGAGAAAGCTGAAAAACTCAAATTTTGGTTGGTAGCGAATTAAAATAATAATAATAACAATAATAAAAAAAATAATAATGATAATAAAATATTTATACCGCGCCAGTATTCTACTGTTCAAAGGCGCCTACAAAAACTTTCTGAGCTGACATCTGAACCAGATTTGACAGGTCCTCATTCTGTGAATATCGTGTAAGTAGCGATTCTATCTATTTATGATATCTCTCACGCGCGAGCGAGGTGCACATGTTAGCGATAATAAGCTCGAGATAAAATCGTTTCCACAATCAAACATGTAACGCCTCATTGAAAAACAACTTTAAAACACATTTAAAAGCACCGAATGCAGAGATCTCCTTTCCATAATTGCAACTCGCTATTCCAACTCCGACAATTCCTAAAAAATGACATTCCTAAAAAATGCTTTCCTCTCACAAAAATTCCAGTTTAACCTTTCTAATGTTCACCAACAAAAAAAGAATTTTTCGTGAGAAGGAGGTCTGATAATTCACCAGGGTCAGACAATGATATGGTCCGTTCATTTAATGTAACCACTCAGTTTATGACAGGTTGGAATACTGTATGCCCTTTTAGATTGTGCTGGTAAAGGTAGAAAATTATGCTCAAAATTGTGTTCGTTAACCATGGACCAAACTTGAAAATAATCAGTCTTCGAGACCAAACAAGTCACGATAAATATAAGTTATATCAGTTCTATATATTAATCTTTTAGCAGTCAGTGATGCACTTTCTATCTACTAATCTATCGACCGATGTATTCATCTATTTATCTGTCCATCTCCCCAATGGCAATCTGAACTATGATGATACTAGGAAAAAGATGGAGAGTTACTTAAACAATTAAACGCCGTAGAAATTACAAGAGGTGCGTGGATGGGGTCACTTAACGGGTGATTTTCATCATATTATTGAACCAAAGTTATAACGGCATCAACAATTTGAAATTTGTGAAGGTGTAGTCTGATCGTCCGGGTGAGTGTAGTCCTGAGAAGGACTGTTGTCGGTGGCAGTGACTGACGTTTCGACAACCTGTGCGGAAGTCATTATCAGAGNGACTCTGATGATGACTTCCGCACAGGTTGTCGAAACGTCAGTCACTGCCACCGACAACAGTCCTTCTCAGGACTACACTCACCCGGACGATCAGACTACACCTTCACATGTTACCCCCGGGTTCAAACCATTTACTGAATTTGAAATTTCTTTGCTTTCATTCGTCCCAGACATTTAGATCACAATCAAATCAGAAATTTGTCAAGAATTGCTACATCTGGGATTGAAGGAGTGTATGAACTGTAAGTATTTTACTGCTATTAAACTGAATATTCATTTTATTTTATTTACCAGGAAACCAGCTTCCTTTCTTCTGGATTCCTTGGGCTAGATTCAAGTATGCTCCAGCTCAACATAAGTGTGAAAATGTTGTTCATCTCTTGTAGACTGTTGGATAACAACAAGATCGATCTCCTTCCATGAAACATGTTTTAGAAAACCTCCGTAGTGGGAGCCTGTGAGTATTATCATGCAGCTGCTATTTCGTGACATTCTTTTGATGGTATTATTATAGGTAATAACATGATTTCAAGGGCAATTTTATATTAATGAGCACGAGTAATTTTTTCAAAAGCAAAAAAAGTAAACAAGCCCGTAGGGCTCGTTTACTCTTTTTTACTTGGAGCACCCAGAATCAGCATTGTGACTGCCCACATCCACTAGTACTTTTGTTCAACAAGGTAAAGACCAAAATACCGCCAAGAATAGACAAGTGGATCATGGAAATGCAAGACGTAGACTACGAATTGGCATACGAACCAGGGAAGGATAAAGCAGACACCTGAGACTTCCATTCTAGACACCCCCTACCTGAGACAGGACGTGATAAAACTGAGAAGATTATCAAACGGAATTTGAATACAGAGCACGCTGTGGTTATCACACGAGATCACTCAGCGATTAACCAAGAGGATTGCTATAGGGGACTGGGAGAAACACAAAAGAGACAAAGACATTGAACGCTACCTACATGTGAAACAGGAGCTATCAGTTGCAGAAGGACTTATCTTGAGAGAACATCGAATCGTACTACCACCAGCACTTAGAGAAAAGCGGTTAAACTAGGACATAGCCTAGGAGACTTAGGAAAATTTAAAACCAGGCAAATACTGAGAGAAACGTACTGATTCTCACTGATGAACAGGATGATTGACACAGCTATTGACCAGTGTTATGAGTGCCATGTAGGTACGAAAGGAGACAGAGAAGAACCAATGAAGGTGACTAGCATTCCAAACAGGCCCAGGGACACAGTATCCATAGACCATGGTGGACCGTACAGATGGACACTACAATCTCGTCCTGATTGACAAGAGAACCAGATACCCAGTGGTAGAGCCTGTACCATCAACCGACTTCCAGACCGACAAGGAGAGATTGAAGCACATCTTCACCACCTATGGAACTCCGAGGAGAATTGAAAGCGACAATTGACCCCAACTCAACTCTAAAGAGTTCAATAAATTCGCAAAGCAAGAAGGATTTCAGGACCACAGGGTGACACCCCTTCACGCAAGAGCGAAAGGAGAAGTAGGGAGATTCATGCAAAACCTAGACAAGACCGAGCAAATTGCAAATCTGCAAGGCAAAACCGTCTTGAGAGAAGAAATGCGGTCCAAGACATGCTTATCGCCTACAGATCAACACCGCACCCAGCTACGGGCGTTGCACCTTACGAAGCCCTTAAGGGGACCACCGTGAGAACGAGGTTGGATTGCATTGAACCTCAACCCCGGAGAAATGACAAGGATGTCATCAAACAACAACAAACATATGAAACATATGTGTGAACTGCGGTTATGAGACGTATATGAGCACGATCCTTCG